TCAGCCTTGCATAAGGGCATTGAAGTGGTGGATTTTGTCTTTTCTGCTAGTCTCTCTAATAAAATTGATTCCTTGCATTATACAGATAGTACATTATGTGCGGTCTTCCATGTCATTCTGCTCAATAGCCGAACTCTGAAGTAAGGGCCAGAGTTATTCTTTTTTAGATCGTTTTTCTTATGCACAAGCACAAAACCATTTTTTTAATTTTAGTTATATTTTGGCAGTAACTGAACGCTTTTACTGTAAATTGCGTCCTACTTAAGCGACACTTGTAAAAAATTTTGTATTATCAGTCATACACACAGTCTTCCAGAAAATCCAGTAGGTTCATTCACAACAATGCTGTCTGAGCACATTCCTGTCTGCATTCTTATTCATTAAACACAGTGACATTTAGCAGTTTTGAAAGACATTAGATCTGTTAAACTACCAATTGAAGAGATTTGTACACCTGACTTATCGGCTATTTTCTCATTTTCTGTGATTCTTTTTACTTGCTATTTCTTATAATATGTAAATGTATTATCAACAGGATGGGTATAATATCAAAACAGTATAGTAATAGTTATACTGGGTACACTTATATATGTAGTACAGTTACACACTTAAATTATTCAAAGACCTTGGGCCTGTTTTCCCAAAAGGAACTGTCCGTAGGAGAATATTAATTTGCGCCACACAATCCTACTGGTGAGCCATGAGTATTTAGCATCACACATACACTTACCCTTCTTTGCTCTTTTCCTTGACAAGACATTCAAGCTCTTAATTCTGGAACATGCCATACTGCTCATGATAATTCAGGGATTCTAGAACTGGATGGTTGGTCTGACAAAAAGTGTATGATCCAAGGAGCGGATGTGTGGAATTCGCAATACTCAAATGTTTTTCATTGATGTGAACTCAATGAATCTGGCTGTTACAGTACCACCTTCCCGCCACCAGGGGGACTCCTAACCAGGGGTTCTGCCAGAATGAAATCACTAGGAATCACTCATCGCCTTCAAGACCAACATTTTTCTTTTCAATGTGTACCGTATACTGTTAGTGGAGCCCTGGTAGCTCAGACGGCAAGGGTCTCTAACTCCAGACCAGAAGGTCCATGGTTCAATCCCAGTAAGGGGCAAGTGACGTACAGTAGCTTGCTCTAATTCCTTCCAGATGGCTCCCAGGTCCACTCAGCCTGCTTTCCAAATGAGTAACGGGGGTTAATCCTTCTGGGGGTAATAGGCCAACCGGAGTGTGATCTTGACCACATCACCTCCACCTCCAGTGTCAGATGATCAAGAAAAATGGTGGTCCTTGCCTCCCATTCCCCCATGAGCCTTTATGGCCTGAAAAGGGGACCTAACCTACAGTATACTATTACTGAACAGCCGGTAGTGTAATACCAAGACATGCACACATCCCCCATAGTTGACACTGCTGGGGATGGCAGTACAGTAGCAGTGATTGTTGTAACAGATGGGACTCAGAATAATGGACGAAAACATGTGGACTAACTTTTTGAAGAAAAACAAATAGTACTTTTTTTATCTACAGTGTTTTCAGTTCCAAAAAATGCAACAAAACCCCATCTCTCTCCAAGTTCTTCCTTCAATGGTCCTCTCTCTCTATATCACCTTGCCAGTTAGGCAGCATACCAGCAGCAAAATAATAAAAAATAAACAAAACAATAAAAAACTCAGGCTCCAGATGTGTCCATGTCCAATTCACCAGTCACTTTTCCTGCTCCCTGCCTCCTCTGGTCCAGCACATAACCGAGGGTCTGCTCTCTTTCTGGCGAGGGGTTCTCGCAGAGCTGGAAGACGTCTTGCCACACAAAATGCTTTCATCTATCCATTTTCCGTCACTGTTTCCCAGAGCTTCCTTATTACAGGCTGTGAGTTTCAGGAATTTGTGTCAGGACTAGGTGGACCACAGGACCAGGTGAGGCGAAGCACTCACTCCGCTCTGGATCCAGGATATGTTCTCTCTGTGCTGCCAAAGCTCAGGGGTGAAAAGCTCGTGGCGACGTTTCGGCATTCGTTTCTTCATTTCTTCACAGAAGCGACTGGTTGAAGTGCAGACAGAAATACAGCAGAGGATCCAGGAGAGACAAAAAGAGCTGAAGGACCTGAAAAAAGTAGCAGACTCATTCAAAGTGAGTATTGCACTAAACCAAGACTTCCTGGGTATCTGCTATAACTTTTTGCTCTATAGCGGAATTGGATGTAGTTTTGCACTGCAGCTAAAACAATCTGAACCTCATCCCACTATTCTAATTCCAAGTCTTCTAAATAAATTAGACAACGCTGGGTCACACCCATCTGTTGAACTTTCCTAGTGAGAAGACCACACACTGGCCATCATTATGAAGACGATTCCCTTATCAATAACTTCAGCATGAATTTAAGAGGGAATTACTTGTTCAGGCGTGTACTGTAAAGATCCCTCTTCATTTTAATGAAGAAATAAGAATAGGATAGCCTGTGTTTAATTTGTGGTTAAACTTATGACTGGCAGTTTATTATTTCTAAGTGAATGTTCATTAGTGTGCTGTTATGAGCCACACTCACACCCCTGTAAAACCTCCCCCCGATTAGCGCTCAACCGAGAAGGTCATTGGGGAGAGTGAGGACACCCTGACAGAGCTGATCCACTCCATCGAGAGGATGCGCACGCTGGTGAACGAAATCCTCAGCACCAAAGGACAGGAGAAAGTGAGCGCGGCAGAAGAAGTCATTGAGCAGCTGGAGAAGGAGATCACCGATCTTAAGAAAAGAGATAGTGAGCTTCGACAGCTGGCCTGTTCAGAGGATCACATCCATTTCTTGGAGGTACGTTGATGACTGTATTTCTTCGGGAATTATGGGTGGGAGAGGACCGCATTCTCTTCTGAGTGTCAGTTTATCCAGGAATCACCTACAGTCAAAATCCCAGGTCATAGATTGAATTGATGCGCTGGGATATTTTCTCTGTCAGTTTATTCGAACAGCCCGTGGGCTCTTCAGCGGAGCTGTTTCCTTGCTTTTCCGTGGATTGTGTTACAGCCAGATGGGCTTGACGGGAAACGTGTTTTCTTCTCTACTCTTCTCTGTTGGACAGACCTACCCGTCATACTGTGAGTCTCCTGAGGCTGGAGACCTACTCAGTGTCACTGCCCATCCTGAAGCCTCATTTGAACCTGTTGGGACGGCTGTGATTGAGCTAAGAGAGAGACTGGAGGACATCTGCACGGGGGAACTGGGCAAGATCTCCAAGACAGGTTAGGAAAAATAAAATAGCATTTTTTTTGTGCTACTTTCCCATAATGCACAGGGCATCTTATTTTGGGAAGCTTTATCTAACTTGGAGGGAGGTGGCAAGGTGGTGTGTCCATTAGTGCTGATCTGGGGTCCCAGACAGGATGCTAGACTGGGGTGCCTTCTGTGACGGATTTGTATATTCTCTCTGTGTCCGTGTGGGTTTTGTCCCACAGTCCAAAGACATGCTGTCCAGCACACTCCCATGTGTGTGTTACGTCCCAGTGTGTGGTCTGTGTGTTTTTGTTGTTATGTTCCACACTGCTGACCTTTGATTGTTCTCCCTCCCCCATTGGCCCAACATTACACCACTGTTCCGTATGACATTTGCCTTTCGTTTGACTTTGGTCCCGTTTGGTTTCGCTTTGCTTCATTTTGCTTTGGTTATCGCTTCACTTCGCTTCGCTTCTGCTTCTGCTTCGGCTTTGTTGGTTTGTTGTTTTGTTTTGTGTGTGTGTATTTTCGTATCGCTTCGGCTTTGTTGTTTTGTTGGTTTCTGGTCGTTTCTTTGTACTTTCGTTTGTTTGTGTGTTTATCCTTGTTTTGCCATGACCTTGCCCTAACGTGTTACATGTTCAACCTTTGTGTTCTTTTGTACCCTGTTCCTGTTGATTACTCACATTTTCCCTTATTTGTATTCCTAGCTCACTTGTGTTTTTGTGTGAACTTTTGTATATAAGGTTAGTTTAGGTTGTTGGGTACACTTTACACACTTAGTTGACTTTGTATTAGTAACACTAGTTTAGTACGGGTGAGTGCCATTTGTCTTGTATGGTTTTGGGTAGTCAGGGGAGGTTAGTTAGGGTGTTGAAGACGCCGAAGACCGTGTGTTTCAGGTTTTCTTTTGTTGTCAGGCTAGCTTTCCCTCACTTTCCTAGCCAGCTCCATTTTGTTTGTTATTTTCTTTTCATTGGCTCCACTCTAGTTCCTTACCCCTGTGTGTTATCGTGTCTTACCAGTCACATATTCAACTTAAAATCATCACTTTTGCACCCACCTTGGCTATCACACTTCCTAGTCCCTCACCAGAACCCACCTGCTTCCAAAAGAATTATCCTAAATGTTACACCCCTTTACCCCTAGACACTTGGGGTCGTAACAGTGTGTGTTAGTCATTACCTATGTGGTTACCCTGCAATGGACTGGTGAACTCACCAGGGTGCAGTCCAAGCTTGCATCTTGTCATTGTCTGCCTAAACTCCACATCACCTGGCTCTCCAGGGGTGAGCAAGTTTCTAAATGTCAATAGTTGGATAGCTAATTGCTTCTCAAACTATTTTGACAATGATGCTTCTACCATTGTGTACCTGGCCTGTTATTTCAAGTTGTAACACCAGTTTTTCCACTTCACTTGTTTTTGGGATCGGCTTCCTTCTCTACTTCTCTAGGGAATTCTGAGGGAATTTCAGCACTTCTGGTGTACTATTTTCAAAAGAGACAAAAGAGTCCAAGAAAACCAAAAACCTATACAAATTATATTAATAAGTACCATAGTTAAAGAAAATAAATCATCATCAAACACTGAGCCCTATTAATCTGAGACCTATAACTGTAATTCATGAAGTACGCATTTGTTAATATATAAAATAGGTTACACGGGGAGGTCGTACGTGAGGTTTAAAAAGCTGTTTTAATAAAATACTGCAGTTTAAATTGTAATTGTATCTGGCTGGGAGAGAACAATAAACACATTTAGTGTTAATTATGTAATCAGTTGCCTTCTCTCCACCTGTCGTCCTATGGAGGTGCAAATGATTTCTTAAAAAACCCTACTTGAAGTTTATAGAATCCTTTCGTATGTAGGAAATAAAACAGCAACACTCGGTTAGTATGGTAAAACGTCTACTTTTGATTTGACAGGAAGGGGCTGAATTTTTCATTCAGGCCTATTATCTTTGTCAGCTTTGTGAATTGGTCATGTTAAAAAAGAAATGATCTTCAGAACTCTTACTTGTTACAACTCATGTTTTTCTGTTCCTATTTATTCAGTGAATGACACTCTGCTGTTTACATTGGGAGACAGCGCCAGAGGTAAGGTGGCATTATGCCTTTTGTCTGAATGTACTGTATGTCTTAGGATAGATACAGACAAGTATTGTATGTCTAAGAGAAGAACTCAGAGTGAAAGTTTCACTGCACACAGGACAAAATGATTGAAGTAAAATTGAAGTTTTAACCAACATAAAAGCAGCACATCTGGTGTATATTTGATAAATTTGAATAAATCCAGCTACTTGAACTTTAATTTTAAAAATAGTTGCTGTTGTTTCATGCAGACTTATTCCAGGTGATTCTTAGACAGTTTTTTCTTCACTCCACATGAGCAAACTACTCAAGTGCAAATACAGACTTTTAAAATCTCTCACAGAGACAAGGAGATGAGTGAAAGTGAGATTTGTGCCTCGGATTCATGTTTAATATGCTGTTTTTCCCTCTGTATTTCTCTGACCACAGCCAATAGAGGTGCAGGAACCAGGTTCAAAGCAGATCTTTTAAAAAGTGAGTCGCCTTTTACTGCAACGTCCTTGTGGAAAGTTTTAGTGATGAGCTAATGGATGAATGCAACAATATCCACACACAAGCAGAATAAAAAACAACATGGATATACTGGAGTGTGGATTCTTCTGGGGATGTTGTCTAGTCCATATGCACAATATTATTGAGAATATTTACTCCTTGTAGCCATGAGTTTGGTATTATATTTGTGGATTATGTTATAACATTGATCATAGTTCCATGTGTAAGTTGCTCAAGATTTTTCCTGGGGAAAATTCTGTACAGTTCCGGAATCACTGTGAATGTGACAATCTTGTGAATGTATTGGCCTTGTTCAAAGGTAATTTTTTGACACTGTATTTTTTCCTAGTATTTAGTGTTCTGGGGCCTAAGAACACAGAGAGACGAGAACGAAGTAAGACTCTTTATCCTTTTATATATCGATTTAACAACCAATCAAACAGACTGAATTTCGCACTATTAATATTGATACTGTGCGCTAACAGATAATAAGAAATTCCAGCTTCTTGTAAAAACACAGACACATGCAAAAAACAATAATTCTCCTAAAATTGCACTCACATGTAAAAAATACACAGTGACAAAGACTAAAGACTAATACGCCTTTCAAATCAATTGCTTCTTTTCATACTGCAATTGAGCAATGTTAAGGGTGGAATGGTGGTGTGGACTCGCATACTGTGCTCCTGGCAGATGACAGGAGAATGTAGAACAGAATGTAGAATTCATTCTGTTTGAGCAAAGCAAGAGAAAATCCCTTGAACTATGGTGTGTGAATATATTGTAACATAGCACGACACAGATGCTCATAGTGCTCTCTAACTGCTACATTGTAGGGAAAGACCAGCCTTTACACAAGGAAAACACAAAAGAAATGAATGTTCTACAGAGTTCAGTAGCAACACAACTCTTGAATATCTTGAAATTACCCTGCCTCTGTATGCCTGCTTTAGAAAAGTGTCTCAAAATGTTTTGTACCAGGGCTTTCTAAGGCTTTGCTCCTTTGAGGACTATTTAGGCTGAAAAGTGATCCACAAGAAGAATACAATACAACCAGTAAAATTACTTAGGTTTACTGCAGCTACTGGAAATGGTTCACAGAGAGGGGATTGCAAAAGCTGGCACTGGAAGACTTGAAGTGCTGGATCAGGTGCTGTCACTGGTCCCATCACAGGTGCTCTCACTGGTTACCAGGTTCCTCAGTGGTGGGGAGGGTGATAGATTTTCAGTGCTGACAGCAAAAGTGGTTTTGAAAGGTTCGATCGGCCTATGGTCTGAAAGAGAGACAGATGACAGATACAATGTTTCATGATTGGTCATATTTTGGCATTACTCCAATGGCATGAATTTACAGTAAGAGCATCTGAGATTTCCTCCTATAAATAAATATAAAAACACCTCAGAATCGCCAACTCTCTGGTAAAAGAAGCAGAATTGGATTGATATAAAATGTTGTTATATTATTATTGAAATAATCCAATAATCAATTTGTAAAATGTTCAGGTACAGGCAAGAGGCGATAGAGATTTTTAAAGAAACTGCAGACCTAAATATCTGTAGACATATCTCAAATCTCATCATACTTAATTCTGTTGTTCCTGTTAGCAGAGGAACACCTCTTGTGCCTCTCTGTCAGCTCTTAAGCAGATGACTGACCAAATAAGGAACAGTACTGAACTCTTTTACCTGGGAACCTCCATCCTCTTTAATTTCTGTCTTTCTCCCTTGTGTATCTCATCCATAGCAATGCCCTCTCTTGGAATAAGAACCACTGAAAAGCGTGGACAAGGTAAGCCTTCATACATCGAGTGTAGTGCACGAAATATACTGTAGGTTCCTACCTGAAACGATCATTGTCAATAATAGAATTTAAAAGTAGAAATGTAGCATTTATGATAGGACCATAACACTATATTAATTTACGGCGCTGTACTAGCTATAGTATGATTATGATAATGATATTTTCAGTAAGGGATAATTAAATGATCATAGGTGTCACAGTTTGCATGGTAGATTCACCTTGACCTTACTACAGTAGCTGCTACACTTTCATGCATTCAGTACATGCACAGAATATGGGTCACTCAGACAGTCCACACACAACCTTGACTGCCTAAAATTATTTAAGCACCACTTGCAATGACAATAATGACAATTTTACTTTTCAAATGTTTAGTGTAACAGACAATTCAATAATTCAATAATTGCGTTATTTAGTGTGATAAAATAGTCAATACCAGCAAAAAAACATTATTGTAAATATTGCCATACTTGCTCTTGTCCTATACTGTGTTGAATAATGATGCTGCTGTAGTGCTCTCTATTGGAGGAAAGCAGGCTAAGACTGACCCAGTGTTCTCCGACCACCAGAGAAAGGAATGTTTTTCTCTTAGATCGTTCTGCAAAGTCACTTCTCTCTTATTATCTCTATCCTTTACATTTTGAATTTCAGTTTTCAATCTGCGGACTTCAGGCATCAGAAACAGGGACGAGCCTTCGAGATGTGAGTGTTTGAAAAAAACGTTTAGGTCAGCCAGATGTTTTATAACGTGGTTGAAAGGCCCCCAGAGATGGTGATGATCTCGGAGTAATTCAGCTCTAAAGCTACAGTACTGTTACAGCACAGAGCTGTCTTCACAACGCACAACAGTGCAAATAGCAATGTGTCATGTGTGCGATTGCTTGTGGGAGTATATACAGTAGGTAAACTTGCATGTGTACAAGTACAGAAACTGTGGCGTGTGTGTTGGTTGTGTCAGTGAGCACAATGTTCCACACTCTGTCCAATCTTTGTGTTATTTGATTGTTGTCTTTTTGTCTCTTCCCAACAGTTGAAAGAGCCTCAGTGAACTCTTCTGCACCTAGAAATGTTGACAGACAAGGTGAGCCTTCTCACAAGAGAAACACTGATGAGGAAGCACTAAGACACTCTTCTTGAGAAAGATGGATAAGATGACTTTATTGGCCATATACAATTTCTTGCATTTGGAATTTGTCTTTTCGCAGACCCCAGCTTGCTCTCCATGAGACACACAGACAGGGAGAGAAGCTTGGGGTCAGAGCTCAGGGTCAGCAATTTATATGGCGCAGTTGGGGTTCAGGGGCCCAATGGAGTAGGATTCCTCTGCCGCCTACGGGATTCGAACCAGCAACCTTCCAGCCACAGGCGCAGATCCTTAGCCACAGAGCCACCTCTCCGCCCGAAAATTCCTCCTTCTGGCCCCAAAAATACTGAACATTGCAGAACACGTTTAGAACTTTTAAATATTGTCTTTACTCTTTATACTGAAAGTAATGCATCAGGCATCTGAGAAACCTTCATTAAACAGATTCATTTTTTTTATCAGAGAGAACAAAAATGATGAATGCGATTACCATTTATTAAAACCTAAATCGACACACATTTTATATTTTTACCTAATTGAAAAGGCCAGTTTGAAATCACTTATGATTACAACGCTTAACCTGCAATCCAAGCAATTTGCTTGTAAGTTACCACAAAACTTAAGAATTAGAGTAATCTTTTATTTTTTTATTGCGTAATAGCAAGTTCCTATATTTCAAAGCTGTTGCTTATTTAATCGTGCCCTAGAATGGACTTGCACCCGTTGCCTGTCAGGATTGACACAGGCCATTCTACAACCCGGAATTGGACACAGCAGTTAGAAAATGGATGGATAGATTTTTTACAGTTACAGTACTAACATAGTAGCTATGATCAGAAATAACAAATGACGCTGCTGGACTGTGAAAAAGAAATGATTGTAGCGATAGAATTGAACTGAAACAATATGAACTGTCCCAAGATGTTTAATTTACGGGGCTAGGAAGCAATAGTATTTCTGGATGCCACTATGAGGACTTGAACTGTTTTGAGCCATGTGTTGTTTGAAGCCTCCAAGAGAATAGCTCTCCATAACAACAAAAACAACAGCATGGACTGTGCAGATTGATTTCTAATAGTCTTGCAGAGCTCTCACTGAAAGAAAAATGAGCATCCCAGCTGTTTTAGTTCCCTCCTTATCTTAACTTTTCTATGTATATAAGCCACGTGGCATCTACTGTATGTGCGCAGGCACTTTTAAAGTCTCAAAGTTAAAGTGTTACGTTGTATGTCGCCTTTCTGATCAGCCTGTTGTTTCCCCACAACTGGGACTGAAAGGCCTTACTTTTCTTATTTGAAATATTGTTTTCATGTCCTTTCCTTCTCCAGCTTATAGTTCATTTTCTCTCTCTCTCTTTTTTCTCCCTCTCTTCTGTGCGTGATGCTGCAGTTTCAAGTCGGAACCCAGAGCGCAGACAGAGAGGAGATGCTGCTAGACGTAAGGCCATATTGACTGTAACACTGAATGGGATGATACAATACCTGGGTCTTTATTGACGATGACATTGAATTGAATGATACCTTGGTTCTTCCATACAAAGAAGATTACAGAAGGGATTTGAATACATATAAAC